AGCCTTCACAAGAGAAGACTGAGGGGGGACCTGGTGACTGTCTATAAACTCACTAGGGGGGACCAGAAGGGTTTAGGAGAGACCTTGTTTCCCCTAGCACCCCCTGGCATAACAAGGAATAACGGCGATAAGTTGTTGGAGAGTAGGTTTAGATTAGACATCCGTAAGAACTACTTCACAGTCAGGGTGACTAGGATCTGGAACCAACTTCCAAGGGAAGTGGTGCTGGCTCCTACCCTGGGGGTCTTTAAGAAGAGGCTTGATGCCTACCTGGCTGGAGTCATTTGAGCCCAGTTTCTTCTCCTGCCCAGGCAGGATGTCGCATTTGAAGATCTACAAGGTCCCTTCCGACCCTACTTCTATGATTCTATGACTGCAGAAGATGGAAAATTAATGTTTTATTCTTCTTTTGAGGCTGAGGACCCTACATAATTAAGGAGGAATAAAAAAATTAAACGTTTTTTGTCACATAAATAACCAGATCTGACTCTGAGTCACACAGAGTAAGTTTCTGTTCTGAAAAGTGACTGTGAAAATTGTGTGCTGGTTATTAACAAATTTCTGATTTTTAATTTTTTAAACTTAGAAGAAACTTGATTTATAACATGCATCTTGCTAGAACAGCTGTCTTTTTGTCTAAAGGAACTTGTTTGAGACATTAAAGACAAAATCAGAAACTAATCTTTTCATAGGTCCCATAAAAACAAAATACTCTATGTTCCTTGTTACCCTAAATATCTTTTTTAGTAACTGCATTAAGGTAATCAAAAATGGTTGTATGCAGACAAAAAAAGTGTTGATATAATTCAATACAGTGAATGTTAAAGCTGCTGCATTGTTCAAAATAACCCAGCCTTCATATCCATCCAATGCAACAAACAAAAGGCAAGAGAGGAAAAGAAAATCAATAGTTTCTAAGTGGGAAAGGATAAAAGCAATAGATAGGATTATTTTCAAGTTTTTAAGAGGACATTACAAATGGGCACAAGACAGGATACACACTAGCATGGAGCATTAGGTTAATAATATTTGACTTAAATATTTAGTAAAGATTATTGGAGCATAGGATACTGAAACTATAATACTGAGGCACTGCTAAGAGACTAACACAAACTACAAAACTAATAAAGAATAAAATATACATTATATATGTAAAAATATATAACGTTATAATTATGGACTCTATATTAGAACAAACATGCAGCCTAAATGTCAGGATGCATACTGCAAATCACTCCATAGATATTAACAAGCTGTCTAGCCTTGCCCAGAGAATATTTGGTGGAGTTACTGGGTTCCTGCACCTCTCACATACAGGAGTACAGCAAAGCAAAGTACGGAATACTAGGTGCAAATCTCTTGCATGATATCCCCAAATACTCTGGCCAGTGAACTGTACTAGTTTTAGTGGGCGAGGGTGCTCTATGTCCTTAAGAAGGGACCAGGATATGATTCCAGGTAATCAACAAAAAAACCCAAACCATGAATAGCAGTGGGTAAACATTTCCATCAAACATTGCTGCGAGAGTTTTCAACCAAACAAAAAGGTTTGTATATCTGCTTTTGTCAAAAAAAAAATTCTAATTGGAAAAAAAAACATTTTTGACTGAAGGCCAAATATTTTTTCCATTATTAGCTTAAATTTGTCATTTATGTGGTTACCCACAATTGCAAAATCCCAAGGAAAAAAGTATAGGTATTTGACTACTACATTCTCTGATGAAACATTGCTTAGATTATTTTTTTTCAAGGTTTTTTTATTGTCCACTATGTTTTTACTTAAGAAACGGTGAGAGAGATTATAAATTGAGTAACGTCCAAAATCAGATTGCAAAACAAGGAGTAGTGGGTAACACTGGGAATGTTTTGGCTGAGCAGGGTTGGATATTCACAGATTACTATGACAGTCTGTAGGGACTCATTTACCTTTTATTAAAGTGAAGTAATGCTATGAATTGTAAATATAAATAAAGTCAGCAAGTATATTTCCAATGAATCACTCTACAGCAGATGTACCCATCTGATACAGAGCACCTCATGCTTTTTGTCAGTGGATCAAAAATGTTTTAATGTGGAGGTTAAGTAGCATCCTATTTTACTTAAAGAAAGACATGTAAAGAGTTCCCCCCAGCCATTCTGCCTGAAAATTCAATCTGGTATCTGGAAGTCAAGATCTGTTTTTATGCTGGATGCACCATTAGCAAGAGATTGTATAACTGCTACTTTGTTAATGTTCTGGATATTTATGTCAAAATAGAATCTAGCTTGATCTTCAGTCACTGCGTTGAGACTACAGGAGTAACAGATGTGAAAGGCAATTGTAACTTTTTTTTTCTCTGACATAAGCAGATATGGATAAACACACAGATCTTTTGATGCATATTTTCCATAGCTACTTTTCAGATCATAATAATACGTCTTTTTGTAGACATTCTTCAAACATCAAGGCTTCTCAGTCCATGTAGGTTTTAGAATTAATCAAAAGTGTAGTGAATGCTTATTAGAAATCTCCTGTCCCTAGGAGATAAGACAAATGCTTCACAGATTCTTTGTTGGATAAAATTCTCTGAGACAAATTCCCTGCTGGCCACTGACTTCAGAAGAGTGTCCCTTGCTTACTCTAACAGTGAAGTTGGCCTTATAATGTTTGTTTCTAAAATTAAATGCAAACTAATGATACTTTTAAAAACTATTCTAAGTGTCAAAGTCATCTTAAATGGTGTGTCAGTTTTTCTTTAAATATATTATGCATGTTACTTAACCTCAATGCTACATGTTGCTGCCTGCCACTCCCACATGCTTTTTTCTTCTCATATTGTGTGTCAGACATTAATTTACATCATACTCCTGGGAGGCAAGGTGGATGCTTTATTTACGTATTTCCTGTTAAATTGTAGGAGAAAGGTTGCAGTGAAATTTTACTGTTTCAGTTTGTCAGGTATTGAACTGTACTGCAAATCTGAAAAATCTTTTAAAACCAATCAGCTGAATCTGCCTAACATTTGCTTGCCTGCTCTTTTGCTCTGTCAGCCCTGGTACAAGTTGTGAATGCTTGTGGTCTGATTTTCATGGATGTTGAGCACATGTAACAGGGGTGAGAAAAATATGGCTCACAGGCTGTATCCAGTCCTCCAGTTGATCTTATCCAGCCCGCCAGCTACCACTGAGAGCCTGAGGAGTGGGGCTGGGCCCCAGGCTGCTCGCTCTGCTGCAGCTGAGGCCAGACTGACAGTGCACAGACTCCTGTGCTCCCTCCTGCATCCAGTCCCTCCACCCATCCACCTTCCTGTTGGTGCTGCAGCTGCGCAGTCCTGGCACCACAGCCGCTGGCTGCTGGCCCACACAGGGTGCAAGGCAGGTGTCAAGTAGCCACCACACCTGCCCATCATGATAAACCACTGCCACCACAGTCCCACTAGGAGGTGAGTTTATGCCGGCTGTGGGGGAGTGACTGAAGATCAAGCTGCAGGGGCTGGCTGTCACCAGGAGCCTCCCTCCTCAGGCTCCTGGTAGCAGCCAACAGGCCAGATAGGATCAATTGGCATCTCCCTGTCCCGCCCTCAACAGTTCACCAAAACTTGTTAAGTGGCCTTCCAACCAAATAATTGCCCACCCCTGACAGACTCAGTTAAGCTAACTGAAAATTTGAGTGCACAATGAGCTTAGAAAGTAGCCTATTAGTTTCATAGTTTCATAGTCTAGGGTCAGGAGGGACCTGAACATATCATCTAGCCTGACCCCCTGCCACAGGGAGGAATGAATGCTGGGTTCACAAGACCCCAGACAGGTGATCATCCAACCTCCTCTTGAATTTGCCCAAGGTAGAGGCGAGGACCACTTCCCTGGGAAGTTGATTTCAGATTTTGGCGACCCTAACTGTAAAATACTGCCTTCTGATCTCTAACCTAAAGCTATTCTCCATCAGCTTATTACCATTGTTCCTCGTCACCCCAGGTAGTGCTGGGGAGAAAAGGGCTCTACCTATTTGCTGTTGATCTCCCCTGATGAGTTTGTAGGCAGCCACCAGGTCCCCCCTCAGCCTCCTCTTGCTGAGGCTGAACAGGTACAGGTCCCTCAGTCTCTCCTCATAGGGGCTGTCCTGCTGCCCTCTCACCAAACGGGTGGCCCTCTGAACCCTCTCCAGGCTGGCCACATCCTTTTTAAAGTGCGGTGCCCAGTACTGGATGCAGTACTCCAATTGCGGCCTAACCAGTGTCGCATAGAGGGTGGAGTATCACCTCTCTGGACCAGCTTGAGATGCATCTTTGGATGCATGACAAGGTATGGCTGGCCTTGCTGGCTGTGGTCTGGCATTGGCGGCTCATGTTCATCTTGGAGTCAATAATGACTCCAAGATCCCGTTCTGCCTCTGTGCTTCCAAGAGGGGAACTCCCCAGCCTGTATGTATGCTGTGGATTCCTTCTCCCAAGGTGCAGCACCCTGCATTTATCTACCTTGAATCCCATCCTAGTCTCATCTGCCCACTTCTGTAGTCTGTCTAAATCTGTTTGCAGCCTCTCTCTCCCTTCAAATGGGTCCACCTCGCCCCACATCTTAGTGTCATCAGAAAATTTGGACAGCGTGCTTTCCACCCCCTCGTCCAAGTCACTGATGAAGATGTTAAACAGTGCAGGCCCGAGGACCAAGCCCTGGGGTACCCCACTGCTCACATCTCGCCAGGTTGAGTACAACCCGTACACCACTACTCTCTGGGTGCACCCCATCAGCCAATTTTTTTACCCATCCAACCGTGTAGGCATCAATGCCACAGTCACTTAATTTATTGATGACGATGGGGTGAGAGACAGTGTCAAAGGCCTTCTTAAAGTCTAGAAAGACTACGTCCATGGTGACACCATCATCCAAGGATTTAGTTACCTGGTCATAAAAGGCAATCAGGTTGCTCAGGCGGGACCTGCCTTTGATGAACCCATGCTGATTGCCCCTGAGCACTATCTCCCCTGCTGGCCCCCCACAGATGCACTTCTTGATGATTCTCTCCATGATCTTCCCCAGCGCCGAGGTGAGGCTTACAGGCCTATCGTTACTTGGGTCCTCCCCCCTCCCTTTATTGAAAATTGGGACTACATTAGCCAGTTTCTAATCCCCCAGCACCTGGCCAGAAGACCACGAATGCTCATATAGTCAGGCCAAGGGCTCTGCGATGACCCCTACCAGCTCCCTCAACACCCTTGGGTGGAGGGCATCTGGACCTGCAGATTTAAAAATGTCTAGCCCTTCCAGAAGAACCCTAACTACATCTGCACTGACTGAAGGCCTGACAGAGCTATCCCTGAGACTGTCCCTACCACTGGTAGGTGGGATGTCCCGGTCCCTGTTCAAGAAAACAGAGGCAAAGAAACTGTTAAAAATATCAGCTTTCTTTTCTGGCGTAGCCACAAGATTACCATTTGCATCTTGCAGGGGCCCTACATTGCCTGGTGCCCTCTTCTTGCTACCAATGTACTTGAAAAAGGACTTTTTGTTGTCCTTAATCCTGGTCGCTAGCCTGGTTCCATCTCTGCCTTGGCCTTCCTAATAGCCCTCCTACACTCACGGGCCAATGAGGAATACTCCTCCTTGGTGATAGCTCCTCCCTTCCACTGGTTGTGTGCCCCCCCTTTTAGTCCTCAGGCATTGCCGAATGCCCTTGCTGAGCCAAGGGGGTTTCTGAGCACTCTTACCCCCCTTGCTTCTCTCTGTTATCCTTTGGACCTGGAGGATCGCCCCTTAAGGTACGACCATCCCTTGTGGACTCCCATCTCCTCTACCTTCTGGGCCCTCAGTGCCTCCCCCACTAGTCTCCTAAGCTCTTTGAAGTTGGCCCTTCTGAAGTCAAGGGCTTTAGCCTTGGTGTAAGCCCTTGACACCCTGCGTTGGATAGTGAATGATCGCTACTGCCCAGGTGGTCAAAGACCTGCAGTCCCCTCACCAGGTCATCCCCCGTGGCCAGGACCAGGTCCAGCAAGGTGTTACCCCTAGTAGGGCTGTGCACTTCCTGGATAAGGTAAAGGTCCTGTAATAGAGCCAGGAACCTACACGAGCAGTCAGACCTGGCTGTCTGCTCCTCCCAGCAAATGTCTGGGTAGTTTAGGTCACCCATGACAGTAACATCCCTTGACCTAACTGCCTCCATAAGCTGACTGGAGAAGTCCTGGTCCAGCTCTTCTGGAGATCAGCAGGTTTAGAAGTCTTTGAAGAACAGAGCCGTTAGATAACATTTGTCTAAAGCCTGGATGTCAAATACATCAGGCCCCAGGGATCATGTGAGTAGTGTAGAACCAGTCTGCAGGATGGATGAATAGCATGGGGCTGGTCCACAGACCAGCCCTGTGCGCCAGATTGTGTGCACAGGACCTATCTGGTCTGAGTATTTCATGCTGTCCACAAGTGGCAAGCCCCAGGTGCTGTGCACACACCAGATCCAGCCACGTACCTTACATGGTGTGTGTACCTGGGCTGCTAAGTGTGCAGTGCATATGTGCCAGATTTGGTCCCGAGTGATGCATGCAGCCTGCAAGGGCTGGTTCAGTGCACACAACATATGGTGTGCAGGCCTATTCTAAGACCTCTGAGCAGCCCTGCGGGCCAGATGATAGGGATTCATGGGCTGGATTGTTGACAGCTCTGATCTAAAGGATCAGTGCGCCCAGTTTTACCTTAAGAACATTGTTGCAACTCCCATAATTTGATCATGGCTCTTGTGATATTTGTTGATTTTTTTTCTTGTGAACCTTGTGAATTTTTTTTAAATTGTTGTAAGTTTCCATTTCTTACAGTTTCAGAGAAATGCTGGGAAATGTGAACCATTAAGACTGTGACATCAGAAAGCAAATAACAAAACCAAGAAGTGTTTATTTAAAGATCTTATTATTTTTAAGTTATTTTGTGGTTTTGGAGAGTAGACCCAGGAGTTTTGGAAGCTGTAACTAGCCACACTGCAACAATAAACAAATGTCAACATTCAGAGCTAGAAAGAGAAAACAAAGTGATAGAGATGCTCATAACACTTTTTTCATTCCATTTCAATAGAAAGGGACTTTTGCTTTAAGTTTACCTATGGATGTCACACCTAAGATATCTGTAAATTAAAAAAGATAAAAAAATCGTTTTTCAATTTGTTGACTTTACACAATGCTGTGAAATATAATTTTCATGGTTTCCTCTGTCTATGTAGGTCTTTAACACAAGGAAGAGAAGAAACTATAGAAAACTTGGGAATTCAGGGGTAGATAGAATACTTTAAAATATTTTAAAATTAGTCAATAAAAGATGACCATACCCTTTTTGTCAATTGTGCATTGAATTACAGAGTCCTGGGAATAAAATAAGTTTGATATCATAGCCAATCCATGTTATGCATATCTTCTGTTCTGCAGAATTTGGCACCCATAACCCAAGTGTCCTACAAGACATGAGTGCAAGTTTCTTATATTTTTCCATTTAACATGTAGTTTGATTGTAAAGAGTGACTTATTTACATGACATCATGGGTTCTATGTCTTGTTTCAATTATTTACATATCAGATGATTACTGCATGAAATTTTCTGCCCTAATTGCTAGCCGTGTAAACAGTCTTGATTTAAGAGAACTAAACTTTTTTGTTTTCAATTCACATCATCAGCACTAATAAGTAATCTGCAGTGCAAATTATGTCCTAAACTACACCTGCATGTCATCATTTTCTTATATTCTATTGCTGGTGTGGAGGAAACACAGGTAGAACCAACTGAAACCCAAGTCTAAATTGCTGAAGAAAACTAAGTTAAGGCAGGAGTAGTCAACCTGTGGCACAAGTAACACATAACAGATCAGGGAGGGGATAGGCAGCACAGTAGCAGATAGGGTAGAAGGCAGAGCAGGAAATGAGGAAGGAGCACAGAGTAGGGAACAGAAAGCAGATTAGCAGACTGGGCAGAGGAAGGGGGTCAGCGTGGCACTTGGGAAGGGTGCAAGGTTACTTTGTGGCAC